ATCCGCTGCTTCGTGGGTAGGATCAAACACAGCCTGTCTCTGACTCCGGACGATGACGCTGCGCCAAGGGACTGCAGTAACCCAAAATGACCCAGCACAAGTCCCCAAGCCCAGCGCTGTGCTCAGCCTTTGCCCCAGGGCTGGATGAGCCCATGCTGCCCCCAGGGAGCAGCCCAGGCTCAAGGCACAGCCCTGCACAGCTTGTGATTGTCCCAAAGCAAATCTCTGCCATTAATTGGCAACCCCCACCTCTAAATCCACATTTCGCCCGGCTATGAGAGATTTCGCCCTGCCATGGGTGCCAGGGAAGGGAAAACCTGCTCAACCCTCATCCGGCACTGCTGAACAAACCACTGGACAGTCCTTCTCATTCCTTCTTCTTTTCCCTCGCTGAAAGCAAATGTGATAAACAGAGAACCAGACAATGACACCACTGTTCAGCTGCCGCCTTATCAGTGCAGGAAATTGTCTCTTTCTTTAGATCCTCTGTTATTGCTATTTCTGTAATCCGCTGGGATCGGCAGGGATAAGAGGTTCTTTTCAGAAAAGGCTTGGGGGACTTGTTATAATAATACGCCACCTCCATGCAAAGTTGTAGGCACGAGGTAAAGCAAAATAAAATAAAAATGGAAATTTTTATCCAGCTCCTCCGGACCACCTTGGCTGTAGGCTTCGGACCACCTTGGCTGTAGGCTCAGACGGGGTTGGGACAGAGATGCCGAGCGGAGTTTGGAAGCGTGGGTCTGCCCCTTGGCATCCTCAGGACTCAAGCGAAACTCCGGCCGTCCTCTATGGGGAGAAAAACAGGCCAGCTGATGCTCCGGGCTTTCGTTTTCCCAGGTGCTGACCCTTCATGGAGTCCAACAGGGCCTCAATCCCAGCAGCATCAGGGTGAAGGCAAGGAGATCCCTCCCTGCAGCAGCCTGGGGATGCCCCACCAAGCATCCCAGGCAGGACCGGCACCACCATGGGGTGATGCCAATGCCAACACCCTCAGTTTTCATCCTGAGGACATGCTCAGAGCCAGATCCTCTGTGCAGGCTGAGTAACAACACCTTTTCAGCCTTTTTCTCCCCAAGACTGCAAACCAGCAGCTAAAGCATCGAGGCAGTACCAAGCACCTGATTCCTCTGGCTGCCTCTGAGCGCATCCATCGCCCTTCAGCCACAGCCTGGAGATGCTCAGAGCTCACATCCCACGGCGGCACGGCCGAGCACCAAGCTGGAACGCCACAGACCCCTCCCCAGGACGGCTCAGCAGACGCCGTGGCAGCGGCAGGCTTTGAGAAAGAGAGCTGCGTCCAAGGGGAGTTGGGAACATCACTTTTTCCGCCTCTAATCAGCTTGTTAGCAGCCTAATAACAGAGAAGCCCTGCACGTTACAAGCCCCCGAAGTGAGGCACAGCCTATTGTCGAATTGCTGCTTGACAGCCAGCTTTCGGCAGCCCTAAATTATCCCATGACAAGCTGCAGTGAAGAGGTGAGCAACCTTGCGCATAATCTACAATCATTATCATTTCCATCTTTATTACCCACAGTATGCCGAGCACATTAAGGAGGCTTTAAGGGAGCTTTTGTTTTGCAATAATTTCTTAAAAAACCTGCTTTCTTGTTAGTATCTCCCCTGCCATCTCATCAAAATGGAAATGCTGCAAAAGGCTCCATTTATTTCCTTTAATTCTCCTTCACACTTCCAGCCAGCGCGGGCTAGCTTGGTAGAGACTTTTTGGTTGAGTCAAGGTTAAAGCTGCCTGTGCAGACCCAGCGTCCTCGAGCTCTGGGGTTTGATGCTCTGAGCAGAAACAACTCTCCAGGACAGGTCTGAAACGGGTGTCCACAGCAAAAGATCTCTCAGCAAACCACCCCTGGCCCTTTTGCAATAGGTGTTTCCAAAAGCTGCAGCGTCAGCAGCTCAGCCTCACGGGGGACACACTTGGGGGAAATTATTGCAGTCGTGATGGGTCCGGAGAGGGAATCCAGGCAGTGGGTCACCCCGAGGATTTCCAGGGAACAGCAACACTGAGGTTTATTTGTCACAGGCAGTTCCGGGCTGGCAGGCGTGAGCTGTTTGCATTTAACATAAATGCAATTCTTGTTTTGGCTGGCAGGCAAAGAGGATTTGGGTCTCATTCATGAGATTTTTCTTCTTTGTTCTCACTCCCTCTCACTTGAGCACGGAGCTTCATCCAGGCTGGCCTCAGTCCCACGGGTACCAGCATGGGGACCACCCTCCAGGAGCCGAGGAGAGGGAGGAGGACAGACAGACGGGTTGTTTCACAGCACAAATCCACCTCTGGGATTATCTTGCCTGGCCTCCTCTACGCCGTGTGCGAAGTCACGTTCCGAGTCACAGGGGATGCTCGCTCCCCAAACCCCTCAGCGAGACGGAGCCGCTCCGCTTCCCCTCACAGCCCTGTGCCACCCTGCCTGCCGCAGCCCGGCCGAGCAACTTGTTGTCGGTGCCGTGTTGCCAAACACGCAGGTGTTAATTAAAACCACAGCGGAATGGTAATCGAGTGAGAAGCCACAAGGTGCCGCATGCCCCGGCGAGGGAGGGGATGCGCTGAGGGGTTGCTCTGCTCCCTCTCCTTTGCCCTTGCTCTCTGCTGCTTCCAGCTCTTGGGGATTTCGGAGGGCAGGCGCATCTCTTCAGCCTCCATCACTGACTCAGCACTGGGAAAAGGAGCCGGATGGGCGGTGCTCGGTCACTTTTCCACACAGAAACGGTTCTCGTGACACCACGGACGTGGATCTGCCCTGGGGACTCATCCTCCCCCTGCTGCCCACAGCTGCCCTGTCCAGAGAGGGGCAGCAGAGCCAACAGGGCACAGAAAAAGAGAGGGCAAGGGAGGAGTGAAAGAGGGAAGGGCAGAGCGAGGGAAACCGCAAAAAAATGGGGAAAGGAAAACGGGGTTGGAGGCAGTGGACTCTCTGCTCCCCAGTAGAGCGAGAGGTTTGCAAACCAACTCATCCCACCACGATTCCCAAGCTGGCAGGACCGCAGAGAAGCACCCCTTGCTTAGGACACGTCAGCCTCTCTCAGCCCCCTTTCCTTGCAGCCCACAGGGCCACCAGCCAGACCTCTCCCCTCCTCCCTTACCTTTTCCGCCGACTGCGACGTCCCAAAAAATATAGGGATGAAGGCTAACCACACAATGCAAGTAGTGTACATGGTGAACCCGATGGGTTTGGCTTCGTTAAAGGTCTCCGGGACCCCGCGGGTCTTAATAGCGTACACAGTGCAGGTGACCATGAGAAGCATGCTGTACCCGAGCAAACAGATGAGGGAGAGGTCCGAAATGTCACATTTGAGGATGCCCCGGGCAAAGTGGGGGTTTGTAGTCCGCTGGTCCTCGTAGTCAATGACAGAGTGGGACGGGTCCACGATGAACCAGATGCAGACGCCCACGAGCTGCAGCGAGATGAGGCTGAAGGTGATGACCAGCTGGGAAGCGGGGCTGATGAACCGGGGGGCACTCACCGACTTCTTGCCCTGCTCGAAGATGCGGTAGATGCGGTTCGTCTTGGTGAGCAGGGCGGCGTAGCTGATGCTCATGCCGAGCCCGAGGAAGATGCGCCGCAAGGAACACGTGCTCAAGTCGGGCTCGGCGATCATGAGGAAGGTGGTGGCGTAGCAGAGGAAGATGCCCGTCAGCAGGACGTAGCTCAGCTCCCGCCCCGACGCCTTGACGATGGGCGTATCGTTGTAGCGCACGAAGGTGACCACCACAAAGAGGGTGGCGATGATGCCCACGATGGCGATGAAAACAGGCACCACGGCCCAGGGCGAGCTCCACTCCAGCTTGATGATGGGGATGGGGGTGCAGCTGGTGTGGTTCTCGTTGGGCCGCTCGTTGAAGTGGCACCGCTTGCAGTGGAACTCGTCGAGCTGGTACTGGTAGCCGTCGCAGCGCTCGCAGTGCCAGCAGCAGGGAATGCCCTTCACCAACTTCTTCCTCTCACCCGGCTTGCAGGGCAGGCTGCAGATGGAGCTGGGGAGCTGGCTCCCACCCCCCGGCCACAGCATGCTCTCCACCTGCGGGACGAGATGGCACCAGTCCCACTGATGCTTGAGCTGGGCATCTGTCAAGCATCTCTGGGGCACAGGGGGATGCCCTGCCTCTGCTCATGGATCCAGCACATCCCGTGAAGGACCCCAGCCCTACCCAGCATGGGGACAAGGAGGCGGTGAAGCTCTCCGTTGGCCTTTTGGGAAGATTCAACACCAGAAACCCAAAACAAAGTTCCTCCTTCCCTGGGAAAACCCCCTCTGCTCTGTTCTGACTTCTTCCCTTATCAGAGCTACGAAGTTGGATGCCCAGAGCCCGTGGCATATGGTCACACGTGCTGATGGTGTGTCACCACGGTTGAAACATACGTGCGCAGTCAGGGGACACCCTCCCCTCTGAGCCCCCCAAGTTTGGCTGCCTAACTTTGTACCCATGGGCTCCCTAGCCCCCAGCCAGGTTTCCTACACCCAACATGGCCTCAATGGGCACAGGAGAAATCTGCAGGACCCTCCCCTGGGCACAGACCGTGCATGGCCACACTGCAGGCACCAGCCAGCCCCCAGTCTTACTTTTAGGTGGAGGTGGTCAGTCCATTGCCCAATGACTTTGTACTCGGGAGTGGAGTTCCTGATCTGGTACTGGTAGATGTCATAACGCCCCGGCGCGTCACCGTTCTCGTTGAACGTCACGGGAGTCCCAGCGATGCCTGCAAGAGAGGGAGGGCTCAGCACCCGCAGCACCCAGCAGCACGGGGTGCCCTGGGTGACCATGTTGAAGGGGGCTCTGGTTTGATGCTTCCCCCTTGGCCTGGGGTTTTTCACACTGCTGGGAGTGCAGCAAGCTGCCAGGACGATGCCAGCTTGGCATCAGGGTGGAGGAAGCAATTGGGGAAAAGAAAAACAACCCCAAACCCAAGCGCTTATGTTATCAACCCACCAACCCCTCCAGGAGCTGGAGCTCACTGAGCAATGCCAGGCACCAAGTGCTGTTACACCAACCGGTTTACTGCTTCTTTTAAGGAGGAAAAAGTAGCTTTAAAGTTAAATCAAGTCAACTGTGCAGATAAACACTAATGAAAGGAAGGAAAAGAAAAATCAAGCAAGAGGGAAAAATAAATAAAAGAGACACTGCAGAGGAGATCACAGAGTGGAGATAAATAGAAGTAATAAGGAGGACAAGACAGAAAATGTTTATTAAGGAGATAAAGCAGAGGAAAAGATGCATTTCCAGAGGAGATCTGAAGACATGGCAGCGTGATTCAGCGGGACCTCTGCCAACCGTGATGTGAGGAGGCAGGAGGGGGGAGAGGGCAAGGGGAGAGGCCAGGCAGGCAGAGCAGCAGGGTGAGGGCAGGGTTGCTGCCGGGTTACTCTCCACAGGCTCCCAGGAGATGGGGAAGCTCAGACCTCCCCGTCTGCTGATCTGCTGCAAAACTACCCCGTCTCTGCACCCAGCATTTGCAGTGTGGTGGGTGCCAAACGGTAACATAAATAAATTATGGGTGCCGCAAGGGACAACTCAACCCAACCCCACGGGGCCGTTCCTCCCCACCACCCCGGGGACGGACAGACCTGAGAAGTTGACGTTGCGGATGTACTTGAGCAGCTCCACGCCGTCCACCGGGTCCATCCTGGGGCACAGCCCCACCTTGCCAGGGCACAGGTTCTTGTGCATGTTGTGCAGAGCGTGCCCCATGGCGTAGACAGCATCGATGACAAACTGAACCTTCCCCTCCTGCTCGTACGAGGAGTCCTGGCCGATTCGTTCTCGGTCTGTAGGCACACGTAAAGCAGGGCTGCCATCTTCCTGCCGTCCCAGCCATTTCCCCACAGGGACATTTCTGCTGCAGCCAAACCTTTACAAACAAGCTCGCTCTGGACAGAAGCACTTGGAAACTCCAACCCCATTCCCAGCCCACCAGCCAGCCAGGGCACCTCTTTGCCATCGGGAAGCTTATGCCTCCTAGACACGGCCCAGGAAGGAGCAGCAGGGGCAGAAATGCACCTCAAACACCACCAAACTCTTCCCAAAACAAACCCCACATAGCAGATGTAATTTGCAGTGCCAGCCCAAGGCATCGGCTGAGTCTGCACTGTCAGGGCTCAAGGCTCAAGCCTCTCCACCAGCTAAGTCCTGCTGTCACCTGCATGTCTCTTGTCCTCAGGGGTCAGGAGGGACAGCTGGGGAGGATGCTGTGGCTCTCATCCCAGCCCCTGCAAAGGTTTGGGGTACACGGCCTGGCCTCTGCAGGCAGGAGGAGGGTGACGTGCAACCAAGAAACATATTCACTGGGGAAACACCCAACCAACCTCCCTGTAATGTAGTTCTGAACACGTGGGTGCTGGCACACAGCTGTGCTTCCAAGAGCCCTTGGAATGTCACATCCCAGCGCCATGGGACATCCCCGTACTCCCAGGTCCCCCAGCGGGGTGCGGGCTGGACTGTGATCGACGCCGCATCCTCACCCCCACGGGCTGACCTCCTTTATCACGCAGGATATTAGGAGCTCCCACCAGCTCAGTCTATCAGCGGCATCAAGGGACCGCCCAGGGAACATCCATCACTGGCTGCCTGTCCTCCATCTCATTCCTGAAGCCCCCTGTCACCCTGCTCCCCTCATCACCCCCTGCCACCCTCCCACCCCACTGACCCCACAGCCCTTTGCAGCCTCCCCGGCCATCCTGGCTTGCAGGATCCTGCAAGGATCTGGTAATTACCAGCGACAGCTGCCTGCCTCTCCTGTCATAACCGCCTTTAATGGGACTAGAAACATGTTAATCATTTCGTAAAAGACACCGATTTATGTAGCACGCTGTTAATTACAGCTACGAAAGCGTCTCCCGTGAGGCGCCGCCGCAACGGAGAGCCACGGCCTCTGCACCTCCATCACCGCCTCTTCGGCACGGCCAGGCACCCCACCAGGCCACAGCTCCTTCGGCAACAGCGAGTGGTTCTCGGGGAGCCGAAGGCACGGCCTCCACCCTCCGGAGAGGCAGCAGCATCCTAGAAAGCCATCCAAGGGTGTCCAAAATTAATTCTGGCTCCACCATGCACGGTTGCTCCCTGATGCAAGGTGGGGATTCACGGCGACTGTGAGGGACCAGGGCATACAGCCTGTGCAGATGGGGACAGAAAAGGCACAAGCAAGCAGCAGTTGCTGATCTCCTCCTTCCCTGCTGCGGGAAATGGGACGAAGCCAGCACGGGATGCGGAGCAAATCTCCATCGAGTCGGGACGGCTCCGAGAGCCGTGCGCCCGGAGGTCCCTGTGCCGGGACAGAGAGTGAAACGTGCTGCTGACAAGACACTAAAGCAAATTGATAGCAAACTGACCGACAAGAAAAGATGATATCAAGGAGGAGAATTTATAGCCCATCCTTCAAAGTTATAAAAATGCTTTTGGACTACATGGGGATTACTCATGCGAAACCCGTCAAGTTATCCTTTCTTCCACATTATTGACAAGAGCTATTCATCTTCTCCCTCAACTTCGGGCCTTTCCCCGCATTCATCCCTCAAGGCGCAGTCAAGCCACTCTATCTTGTCAAGATAATTATCCATTAAAAAAAAAAAGGTGTAATAGACTGTTCAGGGGAGCTGAGCCTGTGGGGATGTCCCAGCCCCGCTGCCACCCCTGGCACTGTCCTGCCACCCCGCAGAGGCTGCTGAGCTCAGGGACACACAGGATGCAGGACTCGTCCCTTCCCAGCTTCTCAGCAGGCACCTTGAATCCCACACAGGTCCCAGCAAGTAAAATACAACCTGCCGTGATAATACAGGCTGCAGAGCCTGCATATTCCTCCCAAACATCCCTCTGGCTCGCAGCGAACAGCATCAGCCTGGCGTGGTGGGGAAAAAACAGCTCCAGTGCCAAAGCTGAGCCGCTGCAGATAAGCAGAGGTCTCCGGGCTGTCCGTCGGGCACCTTGCCCCAGGCCCCAGATGGTTTTTGCAGACAGGAATTAGTCTCGTGCACAGAGAGGGCAACATGGAGCAGAAAGCCGAGGCTCATTCCCGACATGGAGACAATAAATCTCTGACAAATTCGCAGTATATTAGGGCCGCAAAAGGGATGTGACCCCGCTGATTATAATAGCAGGGTCGTGCATCGTTCTACAGGGCCGCTAATTAATTTTCAAGTGCGTGATGAGCCTCCGCGGGCACCTCTCGGAGGACGGACGCAGCTATCTTCTCAAGCGGTGGATGAGACAGGATTAGCATCAATTCCCATCACATCGCCGGGGCCGGCTTTCGGCAGGAGTTAATCAAAATCGCTCACAGTGCTGCTCCAGAGAGCTGGGGGATGGTGTTGCCTCTGAATCTCTGTATCTCGTGCACCCAGCACAGTGTTTTCAGGCTGGGTGAGCCCCGCTGGGGAGCAGGGACTGTCCCCCCACGAGGGACGCTCGCTGCAAACACCTCTCTGCAACCAGGGCTTGAGCTGCCCTCGCAACGAGGCGGGCAGTGCCCGTTTGCCCAGCCGGTGGATCTGAAGGAAAGCCGAGCAGAGAGGCATTGCCAGGACACCCCTGCCTGCCCAGACCCGGCCTCGATCAACAAGAAGCTTTTATCATTTTAACTACCAGGCGAGCAGAGCAAATCCTCCCCCCCTTGGCCTGGCTGGGGCACACTGTGCTGGAAAACAGCCAGCACCACAAAAAAAAAACCAACTTCCATATTAAGAAGAGACTGGAGAGAAGCAAAACAGAAAGGGAAAAGATTATGAGGAATCACAAATAAAGAAGGAAAATCAAATAAAACTCCTCTCCCCCCCGCCCACGTCGCTGCTCTGCATCTATCCGCAGCCTGGTTGGGCGGAGGTGAGCACGCAGAGAAATCCCCAGCCCTGCTTCAAAGCAGAGTTACCATCCAGCCCTGCCAAACGAAGGCCATTAATTAGCTCTCCTGGAAAAAAAAAAAA